GCAGATCCTCGTAGCTCTCAAATCCATCCTCGTTAGAGTCAAACAGGGAAAGACGCTCGTCTGTTAACATCTCTGGTTCATCCAGCTGAAGAGAGCACAATCGTTTAGGGTTTCACATTCTTCTGCTCAAGTTAGATACAAAATGAATACACATTTGTCCTGTATATCAATCTAGAGTGTTTTAGTGAGAGTCGCATAGTTTCAAGATGACTCCTGAATACAATTGGACTATATGGCACAAGGCTTGTGCTCAAAGCACCAAAAACAAACATTAAATAAATCAAGGGTTTCATGTGACAAACTGCATGCAAAAGGTAGTCTATTCAAGATATATTGAGGTTTTACAAAGAACACAGATAAACAAGTGTTAATAAAATTCTCACCGCATTATCAGGATCCCCTTGAAAGAACTTGAGATCAGAATCATCCAAGTATTGTCTGCAGTCTGTACATTTGGGGGGCGGTGTCTTAAATAAATAAAAGATTACACAGGTTGCATCAGTCAGAATCATTAAGGCTGAACAAAATCACTTTACACATGAGTCTCAGGGGGGCAGAATTAAATGTAATGCTTTCATTACCTTGTTAGGACAAATATTAATGAAATTTAAGACAAATCCTCTTTTCATATTTAAATAAGCATAGCAGGCAAACATCAAGGTAAGCATAAGTATTTCACAACACATATATTTAGTTTAGTGGTAGACAGAGTTATATGTGTTAACTCTGATGAAGGAGAACTTGACTAAGTTTGACAAAATGAGATGCATAGAATTAGATTTGTTGAAATTAAGACTTCAATAATTCAAATGTAAGACTACGTAATGACTTTCAAAGCCCATTATCTACTAAATGTAATTGAAGACTTTAAAGCCTCTGAACACCCACACAGGTGTTTTCAATTAATCTGTTTAATTAGCCGGCTTCAACCTGCACAGAGGTCTAATCAGCCTGATTAAGTGAACACACCTGTGCAGGTGTTCAGAGGCTTTAAGGACCTGCAGACACCGAGCTCAATAACAAGTCATTACCTTTGCAGCAGAAACCGGTTTCGTGACCTTGCTCTCGGATGTTTCTGGAGCAGCAGCCCTGCATAAATTAAAGGATTAGTACGTTATGTTGTGTGAGCTACATCACCATCACTAATGTTGAGACTTACTTTTCATCCGATTCCACTTTAAGACGCTTCTCCTCCGGAGACTACAACAGATTTATAAAGTATGGGCAGTGTTACACACAATATTTACAGGCACAGCTCTTTATGTTTAAACATCACTGGAACATAGAAATGATTCACCTCCTCAACATCATCTTCCTCCTTTTCTTTCTTCACTTCATCCTGTCCATTAGCAGCTTCTCCATTCAAGTCTTCAGACTTTCGCTTTTGACTGCAAGACAGACGTAAAAACAGAATAAAGACCTTCGTACATGTAAAAGATGTCGTAGATAGAGTACAGAAGTATGAATTACAAGATAAAATTAATTTACGCACACTTTAGAGAACATTGACATGATGGTTGGCTGTTTCCCAGCGTTTCTTGTAACCCTGGTACTGGCTGGAGACTCTGCAATGAACAGAAACAAGACTAAGTTCATCCTATACCTTCGTTTTAAATCATTTAGTTTGTGGATCACTCTCATATGGGAGTGCAGCTGCTGCATGACAAATATTGATAAGAACTCTAAAACGTACTTTTAGTGTCAGAATTTGTTTTGCTCTTGCGTCCACCTTTCCCTTTGGAAGCAGTTGGTGACTTGACAGCCTCCTCTTCCTCCTGTAGGTCCATGGTTGCATCTTCACTCTGCTTTTCTTTGTTAGAACCATTTGTGACGACAGTCTTTCCATTCTGCTCCACGCCGTCGCCAGTCTCGAGACTAAGCTCCTTTCCCAGCAAAGCCTGTACTTTAGAGATGTAGACCTCCTGAGGAAAGCACACCGTATTGGTCACAGGGGAAATAATGAGGAGACATTTCAGGATTAGTTATGATTCGGATATCTTTAAGAGTCACCAACCATTGACATCTCTGAATTTTTCATTTTTTCCTCTAGGCTGGTCAGCTGGTCCTGAGCATCGACATGCAGGAAGTCCTGCACCAACTTCAGCTTCTCTTTCACATGATCCTGGAATGGCATTTTAAGAAGAAAGCTCTAAAGAGTAAAGCTCAACTTTAAAAACACTGAACAATTTTAAAAAGACAGTTTACCGTAGGCAGGGAAATTAAAATACCACATTTATACTTCTTTGATTCGAGTGTTGACGGACACTATTGTCCTAAAATGCATCGTGTGACATAACCAGAGATGCCAATTGATAGCATATGCTTCACAAAAACACTCATCTTCAAGATGACACCATCAAGAGCTGAACTGATGATACTTTGGGGTTGTGATTGTGTTTCAGATATTAGATCCATATTAATTTCATGACCTGCAGGGCATCCATGGAGCAACCCTTAGATTTGTATCTTGAGGGCAGCATATGAACAGTTCATCTATTTGCTTTTAAGTACATCTAGACACTTATTAAAGTAGACAATATTGCAGATTTTAGAGAAGGGAAAACCAATTAAGGGTGCTGCTTCCATTTGAGTCGACAGGACACTGTGAACCTACAATCACGTACAGTGGTCTTTGGAAATCCAAATGGAAGAGTCACAAGCAAGAGCATTTAGTGAGCAGCTGAGTGACGTTAACACTTATCTACATGTAGACGTTCAAGAGGAATAAACAGACACTGAACCCACCTCGTCTGAAGAGCCGTCCTCATCCAGCACCTGCAGCCTGTGAAAGTCAAAACAACGCTCAGTTATATTAATCCACGCACACATTGTCCGACACGGCTGTATAGCAGTACAACTCGTGTTGACAGCGAGCTAGCAGAAACATAGGGAACAAAACTTCCTGAGTGGCGCCAAATCTCACACGCTGCTCCATCCATTGACAGGCTAAAGATGCTAACTGGCTAGCGTTAACGGGGGGGGGCTAATGTTAAGCGAATGCAGCATCAGTCCCGACTGTCAAGTGACAACAAGCTAACGCTAGCTGCAGCTACTAATAAAAGCAAACAATGTAAAACGGGGCAGCCCTGCTCATGACAGCCACAGCAGCTAGTTACACGGGGTTTAATTTACGTTGTTGTGGCTTTTTTGACCAAGACCTCAAGCTACATGCATGCTACACATAACGACATTATTAGCATTCAGGTTAAGAAACGTTTACGTACCTTTTCCTGACATCCGCTGGCAGAGACGGGGAAGTCCTGGATGGCATGGCAAACAGCTAGCTCAACGAGTGAGATAAAACCGATAAAACCGCGTTAAAATCAGTTAAAAATAATGTTTAAACCGGCCGTTGGTCCCTACAGCGCGGCTCCAGAGCGTCTGCCTCTCGTCCCCTAGCAATGGATACTATAAGCAATTCAGGCGCGCGGGCCGTCTTTTCGCGCGGAAACCCGGGTGTTGTGGACTGTACCACTTCAGTGATGTGTGGGTAAAACACTTTCAATACGCTGCGTAATATTTCCCTCCTGATTGCATCGTCTGAATGTGAAGCCCATTTTCGTTCTACAAATATTTTATTAAAACACAAGTATGATGGTCATGTGATTGCATTGTAAAAAATATGTATTTAAAAAAAAAAAAAAACTAACTCGACTTACTCCGACAGTTTTCTAGATGCTTTGGACGACTGACCAGGCGGAAGCAATCTGAATGCTGTTTACTAATGATCTATAATATCAATAAATGCCTGCATTTGAGATGAGAATGTATATGCAGCTTATCTATACTTTTGAATGAGCGCATATAATAGATGCCATTGTGCTTGCAGTGAACACTAGAGTTGTTGTGTTAATGCAGGCTAACAGCTATAGATGACTCACTTTGCTGCTGTAATATAACGTTATGTTTGTGGTTCCGAAGTAGAATGGGGCTCTCTTTGTGTCTCTCACATCTGTATCTACTTTTTTATAAGTAGATACAGATGTAAATTTGAGCATCTTCTATGATTTTATTGAGTAGACCTGTTGTTAAATTTCTTTTGGAGAAAATATAATAAAAATGTGACTATACGCATATTCTACCACAAGGTGGCACTATGCCATTGATAATCTGGAAAGTCTTATTCAGGTTGTCAAATCATGGTTGTGGATCCTCTCCGTCATATTGTACATTCAAATCCAACCAGGCCACATTTACCGCCAGTCCCAATCACATAAATGAAGACCTATAGGCTATTAATTGCGCAGTGATCAATTTCCAGGTAGTGTGTGTGTGTGTTATATTTACATAATCTAATGTAAATGTTAAATAAGTATGTTATTTTTTCTCCATGTCTATTTTTCAGTGTTCTTTTTGCAGGGACAAACCCACATACGTCTTGTGTTCTGACTTAAATGTTTTTGTATATACACAACCCTCACCTCCAGGTTTCTGAGTCTGATGTCATATCCTGCAGGGCGCTGGAAAGTCTTGGCAGGCATCCCAGCAGCGCAGCCTCCTGGGGCTGATTCAGCCAATGTTCCCACCCAGGAATCCTGGACGTCTGACAGGAAACAAGCCCAACTCTCCCAAGGCCACTATAAGTCAGTCTCTCCCCTTACCCCGAAAACCTCTCCCGGGGCCTTTCTTCATGCTTCTCTCAGACAAACTATCTTACAAATAGACATTCTTCCTCACCACACCCCATTTCCAGCCTCCCTTCTCTCTGCCCAGCTTCCCACCATAGCCCTGTCTTGCTTTAGCCTCGAAGCAATTTCATAATTTGGTTAGGTAAGAGAGCCACGATTAATGGCCAAGCAGCATTCGCATGTACACTTTCAGGCTGTCAAGTTGAAGCTAGTGTTTTTCTGACCATGTCAGAGCATGTTTGGATTAAATGCTCCAGTTTGAATACTTCTCAGATGCAGGCACAATAGCGAGGCGTCTCAGGACCTGCAGCGAAGCCACAGCTGCAATTAAGTTGTTTGCAAATCAGAGTTAAACTCAAACGCACACAAAGATTTCTTTCAGTTTTTCATTTATTTTATAAAAAAAGGGAATGCAATTAACAAAACGTTTATGTACCTACATTAGTGTTTCAGATTGTACCGATTTAACACAGGCAGCGTGCTATTGGACACAAAAGGCTATTGCACACGAGACATTTCATACAACACAAATCATACATACTGCACAAAAATACATACATTCTTCCATACAAACATACATAGTTATTCATGTATTTATTATAAAACATCACAGAGTCAAGCAACACAATGAAGGGACAGGTACACAGTTTAAAACACCTCTCCATCTGAAAATAAAAATAACAAAACTGGGGGAAAGCAAACATCACTGAAGCTGCCAAAGTGCTTTTCACCATTTCTACTTGGTCATCTAAATGTAAATGTCAATACCAAAAACACTGAGGGAGAGAAGAGTTTTAATTGTGTGTCCACAGGAAAACGGTTAGTGTAACCCTGAACAACAGGAACCGGACAATGAAAAACAGGACTTCCTGTGGCTGCAGGAAGTGACATGTTGTAGGACATCAGAGATGAGGATGAAGGTGACCTCCCAGGAGGGCAGATCCTCCCCCCCTCCCCCTCCTCACTCTGTGCATTTGGAACCGGATCTTCTCGTATTTTGTAGTGGAGGAGAGGGGTCTTTGGAAAGATGAGACGTGTTTACATCTTTAGCTGCACAAGGCATATGGCCAACAAATTAAACCAGGATGTTCACAACATTGTTTGTTTTGTTCATGGTGCTATTTAAGACTTCACAGTGAGAGTGACCTACCCTGTTCATCCCACTCTGCTCGTCAATGACTTGGTAATTCAAAAGGATGATCAATAATACTGTCGACAATGGAGCGCCTGCCCCAAACACTTCATACATACATTCAGCCTAATTTCCCCAAGAGGAAGGCAAAAACAGAGACGGCACATTGTTGCTACGTTGCTCCAACACTGTCAGGACATCGGCCCCATTGGTCAAAGCTGCTGGACAGCTGACATTGAATGAAACGCATCAGTGCCAACTCACTTCAGGAAATGTGCTTTCTGATTAGGCCTTCCTCGACGGAAACTGTTAAGATACAAAAGACAACAGTAAAAGCAAGTGGGACAGATTATGAGAACAGATGAGGGAAGGGGTGTTAGTGATGGAAGCTGGAGCTGGAATATATCGTACATACATTAGCACTTACAAATAAGTTAGAATCTCATGCATTAAATGTAAGCAGATTATGTAAATTTGTTGTAGTTAATCAAATGGTTTAAGCAAGGTTATATGGGGAATATATAGCCCTGGTTTTAGTTGAGGGAGCACTCGTGGTAACTTGGCTTCACTGGAGTTCAGTGGTGAGTGAAGCTGATCGCCGTCTCCAGCTCTGTGAAGAGCAAGTGATGGATCGGTGGGCCTGATGTTTACACTTATCAGTACAGGAGAGTAAAGTTGTTCAAACCTAACGAACGACAACAATCTCTGAAGTAATCTACAAAGTGCAACTTTGCAAGCTTTGCATAGCTGCAGTTGCTGAAAGGACCAAAGCAACTCACCATAACTACAATATTACGTTGGTTATGTTTCTAATTCTGGCGTTTTAATAGGGGTTTACATGTTTAGAAAGAAAAACAAGACGACAGGCATATACATGACGATGGTTTGCAACTCCGTATTAATTTATGAGAGTACCCATGAAAAAAAAAGCTCTTTTCACATTTCTGACAGTTCCTTCCTGCTGAATTGGTTCCCTCTTGAAACATTGTGTTTTTGCACACGCTGCAATCGATTGAATGCTGATTGTGAATTCACACAATTTTGATTGTAATAAGAAAAAGGCCGCGTTGTAGCCTTGCCAGGCGTCTCAGTCCAGAGTGTCTTTTTTTAAACATCTCTGCATCACAGCACGGCCTCTCTTCTTTATCTCACACACACACACACACACACACACACACACACACTAACACTCTCTCATTCACACACACATTCACTCTGATGTGTTCGCACCGTATCAGACACAGGTGGTACAGTCCTGCATGATTGGTGTGGTCTGGTATTCATGTTTGTTGGTGCAGTGTTCCAGAGAGCTGGAGCTCTTCAGAGGGACCAGACAACGGTCGGCTGGCCGCCCGCTTTGCAGCATCCCCCAGCAGCACAACACACGCAGAAACTCCTTCCTCATGTCCTTGCTGCGCAGCGTGTAGATCACGGGGTTAAGTGCTGAGTTCAGAGTGGCAAAGCCAAAAAAGAGGTCTGCTTTGGAGAGGATAGAGCAGAACTGTATCCTGCATGACGAATCCAGGAGGAGGATGATAAAAGCGGGCAGCCAGCACATGATGAAGACACCCAGCACTATTGTGACTGTTTTCAAAAGGGCGTAGGCCGGCAAGTTGGTCGCCTCATGGTGGCTGGAGCGTACAATCAAATAGATCCTCACGTAGAGGATGACAATAGAGAGCAGTATGAGGCTGAAAATGGTGACAACGAAGAGGATGTATTTCTTAGAGTAAAGCGGCAACACCGTCGAGCATTCACTGGGGTTGTCGATGCAGTTCCAGCCGATGATGGGAAGTCCTCCGAGCAGGATGGAGGTGACCCAACAGGCTCCTATCAGGAGGAACATGCGGCACGTTTTGGTGGAGCCGTACACCTTGACCTTGGTGATTGCAATATAGCGCTCCGTAGCTATCGCCAGCAAGCTGAAGACTGAAGCCGCCAGAGCGATAAACGCCGTGCCCTCCCGGATGAACCACTGCACGGGCATCAGGTCAAAAGTCCTCGGCCCCGACAGGAAAATGTTGGCTATGTAGGCCGAGCCTGCCAGCAGGTCAGAGAACGCCAGGTTGCCGATGAAGAAAAACATGGCGGAGTGGAACTTCTTGTTGCGACAGACAGCGATGAGGACCAGCAGATTCTCCAGGATGATGAAGGTGCAGAGGACCACGATGGCGATGTTGAGGCTGGTGAGCGTTTTCTTTTGCTCAGTATGTTTGGTCAGCTCATCGATGGTCATGTTCTTAGCAAAGGCATAGTAGGAGGGGATCAGGCTCTGGTTGTAATATTGGGAGTACTTGCTCTTCATGGTGACAGGGTGGCAGAGCACAGCGGCTTTACGGCAAAGATTCATTCACCCAGTGGAGTCGTGCAGAGCATCTCAGTCGATAATCATTGCCTTTCAGGAGCAGATGGGGAGACGGCCCCGGCTGTGAGGGAGACGGCCTGTGCCACAGTCACGTCTAAGGAGCTCTATGTGGGTCACCTGCAGACACACAGAAGGGAAGAGAAGGCCCGTGTTACCGACAGGGGAAATTCACTTGCACACATGAAATAAACTGTGACAAAGCAAGCGTAGAAGTTTTAGCAAAACAACGCAACCAGGCAACAACCTGCTCCTCAGTCTGCACAGTGGAAACTAAACACTTCAAGTCAAAGAGTGGAGGAACAGCAACAGACAAGAGCTGCAAAATGAGCACCATATTAAATCAAATGTCTCTGAGGGGTGATCTATCAGATAAACAGATTTTAAAATGAAGGGCTGGCATTCACATTTAAAGCAGAAGACGGTGAACACACTGAATCCCAAACTGAACACCCACGCAGGAAACAGTTGCAGCTTGTTGCGGTCTAAAAGGAACGGAAAGTAAAAACCCAGTGGTGTGGTACGTGACTGTGAGGAAACTTCAATTCACTCTGAGGGTATTAATCACGAAAGGATCTTCCCTGTGTTTGGGCTGGTGAACCTGTGCAGGCAGAGATCATCTTCAGGTAGAAGAATAAATACTCTGTGAGTGCTGGTGCTCAGACAAAGGGACATTCCACTAACCCTGTCCGAGCACTCGGCTGTCAACACAGGGCATTGTTGTGGGGAGCGAACCTTTCCGCTCCAGTGAGCTACCTCTTGAAACTTCTGCATAGCTTTTGGATCCGCCAGACCTCCTCATCTCATCCCGACCCCTCCAACCAGTTCACACAAGAGAACAGCAAATCAAACGGAGGCCCGAGAGCAAAAAGGTGGGAGTTTCACTGACTTTGTGAGAAAACAAACTTTGGTGAAAATCATACACCATTGACATATGGTGACATATCACAATTTTAAGTGACAGAAAAATCATCGTTAAAGTCATTTTTCATGCAAAAATGGCAGAAAATGCTTGTTTCAATCTCTCAGATAAGGGGATTTCCTTCTTTTCTCTGTTTCATATCATATTAAACTCAAAATATTTGGGGTTTGGAATGAAAAAACAACATTTAAAGATATAACCTGAGACGTTGAGAAACTGGGATGGACATTTCTCAATGTTTTCTGTAGGGCTGCACAATTCATTGTATTTTATCCTTATCGAGATGTCAACTTGTGTGATAAACACATCATGAAAGATGTTTTGAGTTAGTTGAAAGAGTGTATCAGTACAAATTTGCACTTTAAAATGTTACTATCATTCTTTAATTGGTGACTTTTGTGTTTCATTCAATGCTCAATTTATTCCTTTAAAGAATGTTGGAACTTATTTCCTTCCATTTGTTTTAATTCAAAAAGCAAGTTCCTGTATTTTAGCAGAATATGTGTAAAGCTGATAAAGTGTTAAGTTTTATAATGATGCAGCCAAACAAATTAACAAAAACCTTGTGAACCACTTTAGTGGCTTCAAATTACTCAGAGAGGTCTCTCTCAAGGAGAAACCCATAAACAAACCAAAACAAAGGAAAGTTGGAGGTTCTGGAAACCTAATTAGAGGTGGAGCTGGTGTCTTCAACCTGTCAAAAGCAACAGGATCCCTCTGCAGCGCCAGAGGAAATCTAACACTGTTCATCTTCTGCAGCTCGCGCTTAACTGGAAATCTTTAGTGGAAACTGGGGCTTGAACCTCGTCTCTGTTCAGCTGGGCTTCTACTCAAAAGCCGAGAGACTGAGAGGTGGCGAGGGAACGAGACAAAACCGGACGGAGAGCATGCATGTGGAACGGCATCTGGACACAAAGGCTGGAATCTGAGACATCACTGTGACGTCCACAAACTCATCCATGTGACGAGTTGCACCGCGCCGGACTTCACTCTGCTCGCATGCACAGAAATCTTTCCTCACACACACACGCGCACACACACACGGCTAATTGTGACAGACATGGAGTAGTGCAGCACAGCATTCCCCAGGTTTGACACACAGCCAGCAATAACCAGCACACTGTTTCCTCCAGCAGGAACAAAGAACAATAGTCTCCTTCAGCGTGGACAGCATTGCCCTTCAGCCTTAATAATGGGACAGCACACTTCCATTTGGCTGCTGCAGCTGTATCATAAGAGAAATGTATTTACAGCCGAGCACTCCCTTATCAGAACTGCTGTATCCCCTCCTCCCACCTCCCCATCCTTTTCAGCTCCATTAATAGACACGAATAGCAGGCTTGAGGCTGAGCACGTGTGCCAGCTGCCCCAGCATAATTACATCAGGTTACATTATTGCAGCCTATAATGATTTTATTACTGGAAAAATCAGCCAGCTCCGTATCTCTGCAGACTCCAGTCTGCGAAGAGAAAAACGCACCAGAGTTTGCTCCATCTTTCGCTCGGCTCTTGTACGTGTTGAGCAGACAGATCGAGGTCGTCCCGTCACCTCCAGTCCTTGGCGTCTTTCATCACAGGGGATTTCACTTAGAGTGTGTGGGTGTGGGTGTGTGTGTGTGTGTGAGAAACCTGCCGGGCTGGTTTACCGACAGCCCCGCCCTGCCCCTCTACCTGCCGCCCGTGTGCCATTCAGGTGTTTCCGTGGTGATTGGTCGACAGAAGTACTTCCTGCTATGCAACCGCCCCCCCCTTCCCTCCCAATCGTCAAAATTGTGCCCTGTGTTCGACCCTGGCATCACTGTCACACTTCTACAGTAGACACAACAAAAGTGTCAAAACGCGTTGTCACACCATGTGGCTCCTTTCTTCAGAACAACAATGTGATGGCTGCAGCTGCATAAACCCCCCCAACAAACGACACTTCAGTATGTTAACGGAAGAGTAAAAAGAGTAAAAAATGTAACATTAATACTGCTATTAAAGTTTTTAGGTATGCAGTGAAATATTCTATGAGCTGAATCATATTTTCGTACAATTTCAAAAGTATATTAAAATATTCAGATTTGAATTCTGCAGCAAGAGTCAGTACAATTGTTACACCACTGCTCTAAAGTTTAAATACATTAACTGTGCATCAGATGATGTGTAGTATTACCTGCCTGCACTTCCGATCAATTCAACTGAACACACTTATGCATTAAAGATATATTTAACTTAAATAAAATTCATCTATATTCAGGTTGCATTCATGATTTTTAATAGTAGAGCTGAGTAAAACTATTACTGCTACTACGATAGTATTTAAAAGTGATACTGTGGGACAGCATATCCATGTACTTAAATGCAACTTGAATTGTTCCAAGTTAAAATAACTTAATCCATTATGACTTAAATATTAAATACGCTGAAGGATGTAGATGTTGTGCATCGCAAATACTTTGTAATTGTTTTTTTCACGAGAACAGTGATGATGGAACATTGTGGTTTCATGAACAACTTACTGTGATGCGTGTGAAGGTGTGGAGAGGCTGCAGCAAGACAAATATAATATCGCATCTGGATTTTACAGTGAAGCTCAAAGAACGTCAGACAAGGCGATGAAAGAAACAGTGGACACAGGCGCCTCAGAGACAAAGGAAGTAAAACAAGAGACAGACACCTGAGACAGGATATCCTATCAGAACACTTAGTGAGCCCTATCATCGCCAAAGCTGCACAATTCTAGTTTGTAGAGGAATGATGCGGTGATGCTCGTGTGGTGCATGTTCACATGAACTGCTTTTCACAGCTATGCTTACTTTTCACATCCACCTACACGGTTGCAAACATGCTTTAAAATCGACCAAGGAACCGTCACCTGCAACCAGCTGCATAGATCTTCCACAAGACGATTCAAAATGGAGCTGCTGAAAGCCGACTCTTGTTTCCTCCTAATCCTTAACAAGAGACAGAGCTCCCCTCTCCATCATGGGACCTGACGACTGCACAAAAGCCTCAGGTGGTTTTGTTCCCCAGAAACACCTGATAAGTCCCAATTAGCACAGCGTCTGCTCACTAACAACCAAGGCAACGCCTCCCCATTACATCACCTGCTACCTGTCACACTCGAGCTCTACTTTCACTGGGGGACAGCACTTCAAACAAAAACAGAGCTCCTAACCGTCGACACAGCATCCACGTTTCTGTGTACACACACACACACACACACACACACACGCTTTAGCTCACACGTACAATCTCCCACGCATATTTTGGTCGAGATAAGAGCAGACGACTAACCTTGTGTAGGACAGTTAACATTTCCGGCTCATCTTGTTTATTGAAATGTGTTTAATGATTGTTTGCCGACAAGAATCACCGAGCAGTTTGTGGTCCGTTAGATCCTGTAACTGCATCTTCCTCTGTCTGTCCTTCACACTCCCTGCTCACAAGCCGCTGTAGTGGCAACAGAGCACCAATCCAGCTTGTTTTATTTTTTTTCCTCACAGCACAGAATCTGCTCTAAAAAAAAAAGCCAGCAGCACGAGACTATAACACAAAGATCTTCTTTGTATGGACTAAAATATGACAAAGTTAATCAAGTAAATTTTCCCATTTTAAGGGGATTTAATGACTTCCTGCGCCCTCTTCGAGACGCCAGGCTTTTCTTCTGGAATAGACTTAATCTCAGCCACGAGGTGATCCGTCACGGATACACAGAAAGTGTCTGCTGCTGATTTGTTCTTTCCTGCTCAGTTTCACCGCTGTTAATGGAGGTATCAGTGTATCATTTATCTCTGGATGGGCCTTTTTATATAACTGTACACTTTTCTTCTCCCCTCTGCTGCTTATGTCCAGCATTTTCCAAATGATATCAGGGGGCGCCAGATGGTTCTGGAGAATAAAATGAAATAACATATTTTAGACTGGGGGATGGTTTTTAAATGACTTTGCCTGTATCAGTGATAACATCTGCCTCGGAATAGATTTGACAGAGAGAGAAAAAGCAGTCTGGACGCATCAAAACTCTGCAGAGCCTGCAGCCCACTGGACAACGACTTGGTGCTTCAAACTAAGCACAACGAGGTGAACACCAATCTGATTATTCTGCGGGGTTGCGATTAGAAGAAGTTGAGAACCACTGTTCAAACTGACCTACAGACCAAAGGACAGCAGGACGACCAGCACTCATACGAGTTTGAAATATACATATTTCAGA